CTACGGGGACAGAGATAATGTCAGTGACAGGACTGTTGAGTAACTGCACATTATCAAAACTCTGGTTGACACTGGTCATGCTCTACTGTAGAGAAGCCTGCAGTAGTGTTGCGTCCAATCATTTTCACTAAGTATCAACACGAGCCCTGAGGAGGAGAGGGCTAATGGGGAACATGGAGAATGGGAGGAGGGTGACTGCCTGGAAATGTCCTTTTCCAGCCACACTTTCCAAAGCAATTTCTAAAGCATTGCCAAGTATCTTAAGAGATTTTTCAGGGCAAATGGATTCACATTGCTAATTACTTCCTACAGACACCAGAACCAACGTACGTATGCTCCAGAGAAGATTCCCAACTCACCACAGGAGGAAAACCATCTTCCTTTTGTCTCCCTCTTATACTAAAAAAAAGTACAGAACATCCTGTCCTCTTGGCCAAATTAATTCCTCCCATAACAAACTTCAAACAAGAAAAAGCCGCATTATTATCTGCAGAGTTGTAGGCAGGATCAAGCGTTGAATAATCCAAACTGCTTCCTTTACCTCACTGCCTTCCTAATAGCAGAATCAAGCTAATGTGATGTAGCTATTCCTGTACTCACTGTGAAAAGCATATAGTTCAGTTACCAAAACAAATCCTGGGAACCTGACAGAAGACATCTGCAAGTCTCTCTTGCTGTGAAAGGCCCAAACCCACTCATCAGTAGCAGTCGCCAAAACAAAAAAGACAAAAAAGAAGTTTAGACCAAAATCTTGTCACAAGAAAAAAAAAAAAAGTTTGTGGGGTTTGGGAAGGGAGGGAGAAGTATTTTCTAACACCACAAATACAGATCACTTTGAAAAAAGTAAACAAAATTAAAGTCTCATGACTGACTCAATGACCAGAGTACTTTCTTTTGGGGATCTAAACCTAAGACAACTTTAAAACCAAAATCCGTAACTTCTAAAAGCATTTCTGCTTGTTCCAAGACAAGCTATTAAAAACCAAAATTAACTCAATGTACAATACTTACAGTACTATGGTTTATATATTTCTGTCCTGATGGGTTCTTCTCTACCTCACCCCGAGGAGTTAAAAATTTCAACATCAGTAACTCTGAACTGCAGAATAAGTACTCTTAAGAAATGGAACAAATATTTATTATGTACATAGAATCAAAACCAACCAAAGCTCTTGCAGTTTTTTGGTGAATGTTCTTGGTTTCACAGCAGAGAGAAGTCACGGAAAGAAGAGCACAGGAAGCTGAAACAGCAGATGTTTCAGAAAGCTTAAGACAACCTTTCCAAGATAAGAGATGAATTGAGATTCCTGATATTTACCGATTTTAAGAAATCTACTCAAAATTTAGATATTATAATTGCGAATTAAAACTAGACACTTTCAAAGTAACACAGCTTAATAAATTTTTTTATAAAAGGAATGGATTCAGCAACAGCAGATAAGCACTCCTTTTAGCTACTTAAGTTTGTAATCACCTCTATTATATGCCAAGAATACACTGACTGAATTACAGGGGTATAACATGAGGCATGCTAGCATCTGCTTAAATATTCTAAAAAGTTCCTGCATGACAATGTAACGTGGTTGTTTTGTTTGTTTGACAACATTTAAGAAAAGTACTGCTCTCTCTATGATACTTTAACAGTTTCATGTACATATACTTAATGGACATTAAGACAATAAGGCATGTTGGCATCTTGGTCATGACAAATTCATCTGTGTTCTTCAAAAAGCATGTTTATTTTCTTACCAAAACTATTAACACAGTAATTTTCACTAAGAGTGCTTGAATCTTAAGCACAGGGCAGAGAAATTATTCTGCAATTCAGATGTCCTAAATTCTCAAGGAACATGCAGCACTTACAAGCATTGTACTGCAACAATTTGAAAAAAAAAATCAAAATAAATTTCAACAAGTATAATGAAATATGGCTGGTTTACTTACTTGTTTTTAAAAATTATCTTTAGAATGGACACATTTTCATGATTATGTCATCCCTAAGCTACTCTGCTAAGCTAACACAACCCAGCACAGCAACGGGTCACCCATGTAATCATGCTGGCATAGCAATATCACCTCTTGAGTTAACAAAACCTTTTCTTATTTATTCTTTTTTATTGTTAACCCTTGGGGTTTCTTTTCTCTGGATGCCTCCTGAACACGTGCTGGACAGGCTGTCGCTGCTCACATTATTAGCTCTGATAAGCACACATCTCTAGGTGGTATAGCTGCAGGCTAAGGTAACGGCCTGTATACAGATGGACCCCATGCTCATGCAGAGAACTACTGAATGTACAAGGGCTCCCTGTAGGGACAGACAGGAAGCTAGCACGACCAAGAAGACTGTAAAAGCCCATTTGAAGAATAGCTTTTTCTCCTATACTAACAATATATTTATCACAATTCCCTAGAGACAAAAATGAAACAAAGGTATACTAAAAGAAGTTGGTCAAACAAAATTAACACAGAGTAGAAAAAACAAGAACAAGTTAAACAAGTAGCTGTGCTACTTAACGTAAACAGCACCAGTTCATAGATGCTATCTTCTATAGCACAGAAACTGGCTATCAGGAGTTCTGACTACTTAATTACACAGCTTATGCTCCTAGTTTGTAACTGATTACAGGCCATGTCTTTTATGCTATTTCCCCTGATGAACACTATCCTCCTGTCCTAACAAGACACATTCATTCCGGCAATAATTTCACAGTAGATTTGAAATTCTCCTGACAAAACTGTTTAACTTTCATTTCCCATGAGTTGCTCTCCGTGCCTGTATAGATTGAAAGGAGTACAACAAAACAGAAGTGATACCTTTTTTCAGAAGAAATATGAATGTAGAATTTGTTCACTCATTTAATTTAAAAAATGCACTGGAAACACTCAGCTTCCACCTCTAACTTTCAAGAAATTTCATCAAAACTGCCTTAGAGCTAAGAGAGAGACAGGATTATTTTCAGGATTTTTACCTCACATCCCCTTTCAATGATCCACATCACTAATATTACCAATAAGCAATACACAGCTTGATGTTGGTGCCTTCCTTTGGTCCAAGAAGGACCAGAAGGACCAGAAGGACACACAGGATAAATGAGGTGTCTCAGGGCAACAGTGAGTGATCCACAAGGTAAAAGGGGTGACAGCAGTACCCTCAGTCGTCTGCTTGTTTTCAATACGCTGTGATGCACAGCAGTTTGCGTGTGCCTGGTTGATTTATGGATTATACTATATGGTTGTAACTAAATTTAATTCTCAGAAAACAGATGTGTAGTTCAAAAAAAACTTCTGTAAAGAAACTGTGAATTGAAGATTGTGAAAACAACACAATCACAACCAAACACAAAAATGGCAGAGTTGACACTTAGTCCAGCCCTAGTTAGAGCTTGTTGTCCAGACACCTCACAAGGCACAAACAATAACAATCTAATCAGTGTTATTTAAAGTCACAATACCAAATCCAGTACTTCACTTTCCTACTAGGCCTCATAATTGAAGTCTACTAGACTATTCTAATAGCAGAAGACTAAAAGCCACACACCTTCAGGGAAACACCCGTGCTTAAAAAGCAATGACTTGGGGAAGAACTGTGCAAGTGTAACCACTGACAGAGCAGCTGCTTTCATGGGAATAAAAAAAAAAGGATTCCTGAAAAAGGTTACAGACAACACCAAGCATTCAACTTTTCCACGGCACTACTCATCGTCAGGTGTTTGCAGCAAAGATGTTGGAGCCAGAAGAGCACAAAGTGCAGCAGGATGCCAGCAATGTAGTTATCTCTATCAAAAGCAACCAGCAGAATCTGTACAGGACTATGCAGTGAGACACAAAATACCATGAAAATCTTTCACACCACGAGGAGGTTTGCTGGTTATCTTGCAACAGAGTGCTTAAAAGAGTTGTCAAACTTCAAGCATTCTTTTTTTCTTGGCTTTAGTTTTATTTATTTATTATTATTTTTTCTTTTTGTGTAAAAGAAATAAGTGTTGCAGATTTGCTGACCTTTTCTCTGATGACAGGTGGCTGTGAGTAGTTTGCAGCCTGGCAGACATATTCAAAAGAAATAAATAAACCCACTTGATGTGTCCCTTCAAGGTGAAGTTGATGCTTCAGCAAAGAGGGAGAAAGTAACTGCTTTTCAAAAGACACTTGTGCTATGGAGAGATCATTTTGAAAATGGATGATTAAAAATGCATCCACTGTTATTGACTGTTTCTGAAAACAATGCAAGTGTCTGATATATCTGTATGGAAACCAAATTTTCCAACCTATTTAAAAATCACAGAAGAAGTTTCAGCAGGATTTGAACCCATTTGTTAAAGATATAAATGTGTAACACAATCTGATTAGCTGATTTTATCTTTATTGCATTCTTTTTTAATTTCTATTTTTGCACGTTTCATAATGTACACAATACACTATATAGGGATCATATTTATAATTAATTACTAAGTCCACATATTTTGGATATAGTGCACTCACACTTTTCTTTTTAACCAGTAACGTTTAAAAGAAACTAAAGAATACCAAAGCAGAACGCATCAGCCTAAAAGAAATTCTGTCTAATGAGGTATCTCTGTGCACATACATCACTAAAGCACTGATGAGGGAAAGGATACACTTTGTTAATAAATATATAATAACAATGGAGGCCCAACCTGTAGGGTCACACAAAGCAATTTCATCTACACAAGCATCAAATAATACAGACAAGTAACTCTCGCGTTTCCCACTCATGGCACGATCCAAATCAAAACATGGAAAGTTTTCTATCAATCAGAACCAATCAAGAACAAAGTTCTTTTGATAAACACTCCACACTACCAAGCAGCCAAGGCCAACATGGTAGATCTAGATACAGACTGCATTATTGGTTTCACAGCAAGCATCAAGATGCTGACCATACATATTCATTCTCTGACTACTTGTCTCCAAAAACAAGGATTATGTTCAGGGCACAGAAGTGAATACATCAGATCTCCTGATGTATATTTGACTCTTACCTTGCACTTTATCTGAACACAGCTCCTTAGCTCGCTCTCTCATTATTTGTGGAATTAAAACATCTTTTTCTACATGTCTCAGCTTAGAATTCTCTGCAAGAGAGACAGAAACAAAAATAAAAGGAAGATGTTATTTTTTTAAGAGAGAAAAATCAGTCTACGGAAATAACACAACACTGATTATAGAACAGTTACTAAGATATAAAATCTGTCACAAACCAACAGCAGAAAATACCATGGAAGAACTACACATAAAAGCAGGGAAGTCCCAAGATTTGAAATGACTCATATACAGGCACAAGCATTATCCTGAACATTTTCTGTTGTGCTCAATGTGCAAGATGAACCAAAAGTAATGAAAGAAATTAAAAAAATCTGGTGGCACTTTCTCCTTTGTACCTTACTAAATGAAACATCTGCATAAAGACAGCACAGAGATTTAGAGTTATGTTCAATTCAAGATATTAACATTTTTCTATCTGTGTTATCTAAACAATCCACAGCTTTTTAGCTCATGTAATAAAGCAAAGAAATAAAGCATGTTGAAGCAGAATCTAAACTTGTATTACTACATGGAAGACTTCTGTTCTTTGAAAAGAAATACAAATAACCATTCCCTTAAACACAGCATCAGTGAGTTTCCTCACTGAGAAAATCAACAGGAGAAAACACTGATGCCTGAATCCTGGATTTAAACATAGAGCTGTGGTTTGCATGCAGTTGCCTCTGAACAGAATTCAGGTCTATGGATGAGAAGTACAACTACTCATAACAGAGATCACTTGGAACTGCAATAATTTGTTTCTAGATCAACTCTTCAGAACAAAGGGGTGAGAATTTACCGAGCACAGCTTTCTCCTTCTTAGCTTCTGATTTAAAAGCCCTTTACAGAACATTTGGTCAGAACACTGTAGAGCTCAACATCATTATACCAAATACCTGATTTTCCTCCTCAAACACACTATTTATTTACCTTTTGATGTTGATACAATTCTTCAACACAGAATCAGCTGTGATGCTCTCATTATGAAACCTCTCTGATACGCTGTTATACTGAGTGACAATCATCATTTTAAAATAACATTGAGATATTTAGATTAGATGGAAGAAAAAGTGTGATGTAATAAGACAAGGAAATGAGAAAAATTTAAGTTATCTACCTCATTTCAAACACACTAATTTTCAGAGCATCTGCAGTTATGTCTAGATCAAAAAGAAACAGATTGACGTTTCTCTAGTCATTTCTAATGCCTCACCTTTTAAAGCTTAGTAACATTATGAGGCTGCATGGTGAGGTTTTGCAGCATTTTATCTGTGATACTGCTGGGTGACTCTGGTCACGAAACAGAATGCCATAATGACCAATCCCCAGAATTAGAACTAAAACCTTCTCTTTCATCTGAAAAATTTCTTGTTCAAAAATTCTACAGCAAAAGAAAGGAAATAAAGTCTCTTATGCAGCAAAAATTCTAAACACAAATTCATTTCCTTTTATGCTCTGATTCTCATGACTGAGAACAGAATTATAATTAAATACAATTCTGACAGTTCTTCAGAGTATCAGTACAAGTACTGTACAGAGCATTTGTACAGTAAAATGTAAGGTGTCATAGAGCTTTAAAGCACATCTCCTAAGAAGCAGGACAAATAAGTTCAGCCAAATGGTAAGGCAGAAACAGCACACTGAACTACATGCCTCAGCTCTACTTTGAGCAACTTCAGCCAAAACAAGCTGGCACTCCTACAGTCCTGCCCTATCCCAGGGCCTGCAATGCTCTTCCCTCTGCACCCACAGATGTTCTCTGCAGGCCTGCGGACTGAAAAGGGAAGTGAATTTGATTGGACACTGAATAAATTTCTTGCCATGCAATTTTTCAGCTAGATAAATTTCCCAGTCTATTTCACTATGAAACTTCAGTGGTCCATGAGAAAGAACTGTGCAAGAGCAGGAACAAGGGTAGGGAAGGTTACAGCTACCACAAGCACCACTGGCTCAAACTACAGCCTATGCCTTTATTTTTTCTTTGTTAATGGGACATCAGCTGCCACCAAAGCAGAGAATTAGGCAGCCCCCAGTTGGCACTGTGCACCCTCATCACATCAGCAAATGTGGACAACTCAGACACAGGGCAGTGTCCTGTAAGAAGAACCAGAAGAGAGCAATGACAGTCATTTAAAGGCAATTAAGGAACAGTAAAAAAGAAACAAGAATGAAGACCACTCGTGGTCTCATATACAGGAGTTTTTTTCTTCAAAGATTTATTGGTATCAGCTTTTAAACCATAGGAAGCACAGGCAATTCAAATCATTTTATACAGCCAAGGTGGTAGATTTCTGCACCCACATGCATCTGTATCTCCAAACAGGTCGAAAGGAGATGTTCAGCTTGAGCAGCACTGTATTTACTCACGATTTTCAACTGCATTGTGTAAAGCATTTTAATATTCTTCTTTGATTTTAAACTATTCATTATATCATATGAATGGCAATTTTCAGTCAGGGACTTCAAAACACGTTCCTGAAGTTGCTATCCCTAGCATTTATACAGAACATCAAACAAAAATAAGGTGCAAATATTAACAATGTCAGATACCAGATAGAAAGAGTTTTTGTGTGGAATAATCGTATTTCTGGATAGCAACCTGTAAGTGCTTGCAAAGAGTTCAACATCAACCTAACTACATCAGCTCTGCAGCTAACATTACGTGGCAAGAACTTTCAAAGAAATAACACCTTAGAAGCAAGACTTCATCAAAAAACATGAGACAGTCATGATGTGAAGCTACCAATTCCTTTTGCCTTTTTTCAACTGTATTAGATTTCCTAGAATAATAAGTAGTGTTTTCCCTTTAGATAGTTCACTAGCCTGCACTAAGAAATATATTTCTTATTCTAATACCAGATTTGCTGCCAACTAGTCCCAACGCAATCTGCATTACAATACACCTACTATGTTTTCTGCCTACTGTTTTATTTTTTCTTCAAAATATTAATAGAATTATTAAAGAATAATAGAATTATTCCTAAAAAGAATAATAGAACTATTCCTAGGCTTTCTTACAGTTTGCTCTTCTTGTTAGAGAGTTGATACCTTTGGTTCCTATCTACCACCTTCTGCACTCTGCCTGGTCATCCGCACAGGCTGCTTGAGATGTTCTCAGCATCTGGCTACAAAATGTAACAAGAACAAATCTGGCTACAAATCGTAACAAGCAATTGGTGCAAACTGCATCAGCGCACTCCAGAACCCTGCGGCTTCTCACAGGGACATGGAACACAACGGCTCAAAGATCTAAGCTTCCAGTTGCCAGAATAAAAGACACAAGGTCAAAATCTATAGAAAACTAAGTATCCCTCTGAAAGGGAAACTATTTTCCATGCCACTTCAGGGTACTGTAAAGAATTAAGGGTAGAGATTACAAAACTATGAGATGCTCCTATTCAGTGAAATACTGAGAACAATTTTAAAGCATTTCTTTTCTTAACACAAATAAAATCTGGGGGTTTTGGTAAATTTCAATGCCTGAAACAGCTCTGATTGCATATAATACCTAGGGCACAAGGTTACATTTGCAATAGTTTTCTGTGGTTGATTAAACCCTCAGCTGCAAAAGCTATCTAGTGCCATGGAAAGCCAAGGCTGCAACCATTCTGTTTAATTTTTCATTATTTTTCATTTTTTCATTATTTTTCTATAAATGACAAAAAAGAGAGGAAATGTGTGCATCAGTAGGATGCAAGCACTAGAAGAGTAGAGAATACACGTTGTTCCCTCTGCATTGAAGCTGGGAAACCAGGAGATGACTGAAACGCTCTCTTTACCTTCTAGCCTCCAGCTATAGGATCCAGGGAGGCCTGGAGAGAAGACCACAGCACAGGTCTGTGTAATGGACAGCAAGCCTTCAAGAGGACAAGAGACAGAAGGAACATGAAGCTGCTTTACAGTCTTAATAATGAAAGGAACTCCAGCAGCTTGTCATACTGAATAGAGGGCTATTACAGAAAGGAGATACCAAGATGAAATCTTTCCTTGAACAACGACCCAGTGTAAGTTTTATTACCTCCCTGCCTCACACCTATAGCATCCAACAGGAATTGCATTAAGCAATTCCAACAGAAGTTTTTGGAACATGCATTTCTGGTTACTCTGCTTGTAATTTGGATGCCCTTGGTTGTTCATCTAGTGACTTTAAAAAAAAAATAATACTAACTCAAGCTAATACTAGTACTACATTAGGTGATTCAATAAGAAATAATATGGCCTTTCAATAAGAAAGTATAAATGATGAGCTAAGCAATGAGTAACAAGTTAACAAAATGCATTAAATTCAGGGGTTTAATCTTTTTTTGTATCTCTTGACAAAAACAATCCATATACTGTAAAGACAGCATACAACTATTGTGTTTTACGAAGCTCATGGCTTCCTATGAGCTTATTACAAAGCTGACTGGAAAGTATACTGGAAAGAAACAGCAGTGCAGTGTTAATTGTATGCTTACAGGCAAATGTTTCTTTCATCAGACTACTGGCTCCAAAGCCCACGTCAGACTTATTTTAGTTGCATGCCAGTTGCATTTAGAATGGGCAAAGAGCTACGGCTTATAACTCCTTCAGGAAAAGAATGCACTCAAGGCTTTCATCGCTGCTACTCTGCCTAGCTTCTCCAACCTGGATTAAACAACAAGTTAACATGAATTCATATAAGATCTGTAAGTCATGTGCGTATATGTGCACCATAAAAATAGTCATCAAAAAAGGTCTGTATCACTGAGTATGTTACCAATTACCTGAAGCCTCTATTCTAAAGTCACACATCATCACAAGAAATTTAAGAGAGAGATCTATTAAAACCACAGGCAGAAAAAAAGCAGGTGCTTCCAAAAATCTTGGAAGATCTTCTCCTGCAATTGTAGTTTTTAAAAAACACTTCTTGAAGATGAAATTAATACTCCCTATACAGCCCTATAACCCGTGAAGGAACTCCTGCGCCCTTACTCCAAGAAGTTCACAGGGCCAAAATGACAAAACAGTTTCAGCATACTCCTTTAAAATTCTGTCCCACAGAAACATTCGGGATCCAGCTAAAGGCAATGAATTTCACCAGTCCGAAACATCCAGTGTGAACCAGCTCACGATGGACCAGGAGCGAACATTTTCCTGCATACCTGAAATGCCACCACGTCTGGTAACTTCATTTGCACGTCAGTGTTCGCAGAGGAATCGGGAGTCTTAAGTACTTTGCTTTCTACCAAGGTTTTAAAGTACAGAAGGACAACATAAAGTGAGAGAAGTGTTATAATCCAAGCAAAGTAATGTATGTGATACCCTGAAATCCTGATTGAAAAGCAAAAGAGGCTGATCAGCTCAGTTTCTTTATACAGTAGCCTTTTTTTTTTTTAAGCTGTATATGAATAAATTTATTTGTATTTAAAAAGTTTCAGATTTTGAGATTTTTCTATCTAATATTCACATCATTTTAAATTAAGATGGAGTACAGGGATGACAACACCAGGGAAAATTTCCAAAGCTTTAACTTCTCACCATTCTATCATCACCTCAAAGTCAATTTTCACCTTTTTCACTGGCTGAATTTGTTATCTTACATTTTGCTTTGGGGCTTGTGTGTTCTAGCAGTATGGCAGTACTCGATTGCAAGAATACTGTTCACTAAAAATGAGCAATAGCTGTATTACAGTCTGTAATATCTAGAAAGAAAAGGACAAACAAACCTGACAGAGCACACTTATTTGTTAATTACATGTGGCTTCCAAATGCTCATACATCAACAGTAAAGCCAAGCCTGGAGTTGCACGTGGAGATTTTTGGCACAGGGTGGTTTGGTTGTTGCTTTTTTTCAACTCCTTATCACGTAACATAGCCAGGACCCAAAGAATCAAATGCAGATCGGGGCTTAATATTTACTATGCTGGTTCATTCATGCTGTCTTAACTACTGCACAGGAATAGCAGAGCTGCCAGTTAGGAAAACTTAGGGTGTGAGCTACTTAAAAGGAAACCAACCTAAATCCCTTCAGACAACTGTAGATGAGAATTCCAGCAAAATACACAAAATAAGAAGGTAGTAACAACAATGCATGTTACTACTTGGAATTTTACTTGTTCTGAATTCTATTCCTTCTGCATTATTCACTTGTTAAACTGATGTCAAATTTCTCTAAACACAACTTCTCATCACTTGAACAAAGACACTAGGCAGCAACTATTTCAGAATCAAAATACACATTTTGTACTTCCTGAGACAGCGAAAACTGACAATGCCACAATGCAGCTGGATTCCTACATACAAGGCTTCATGCTTTTTACGTGAAGCCCAAACATTTGAGCACTCCTGGTCTAATCTGGTCACAAAGGTACAACTCCTACTACCCCACACCCTACCTAAGAAGGGATGTTGTTCAAGAACGTGCTGCTCACTTCCACCTAGAAAACAGAACAGAGGAAGGTCCACAAGCATCACAGACTATCCAAAGAACATAAGCCAAAACAAACACATCACATAAAGTAAACCTAACCGGTGCATTACAGAACTTTGTATCCATTCAAAACTGAACCAAGAAATCAGTAACCAAGTGCAAAGTAACCTGCATTTCGATGAAGACGAGGCACAGGAAAATCTATAAACCATTGAAACCCCCAGTCACTAACAGAGGAGATGCCAATGACATTAAGAAAGGCAAGAGTATGACACACTCCTCTCTTCTTTCATGCAAGCCTTGAAAATAAAAGTTTCATTAAGAAATCCTACCTAACAACTTTAAGGAATTGAGCATTTAGCTCTTCAATCACTTTTTTCAAGATATAGTTGAATAGTTTATCTGGCTGTGCAGTTTACATCTTTCATTTCAGATAACAAAGACCACACACGAATTAAGAGAAAGTATTTCGAATATCAGGACAAAACACCATTCTTTTGTTGTTTTTTTGTTTGTTTTTTGTTTTTTGTTTTTTTTTCTAATGAAAGTGATGATTAAAAAAGAAGATAAAACAATGCCTACCTTATCCATCATGATTTCTGCACTAACAGATTTAATGAACAATCAGCACATTGTTCAGCACAGCAAATGAATCAATGGAGACCTTAAAAACTAATATCACATACATATGATCCAAAAACACAAGTAATCATTCAGTTTGCCAAAAGTTGTACAGCATGAGGCATTTTGACATGGAGAGAAAACTGAGAGCCTTTTGGTTACATTAACAAAATTACTGAAGATGTTTTTCTGGATTTTAAACTCTAAAGGATCCTTTCAAACTATTCAGCTGGAGAGTCCCAGTACATCATCCATGTCTTAGTTCTTTTCCCATAAAAGTTCTCTATAATGGGCAGTTAAACAACTTCAATGCATCACTATTATCCTTTCCATCTACATTTCTGACACAGGCCAAAGACAGTAAGAACAGAATCAGAAAGGTCAATCTGATGTAACACCCTTCTCGATGGTAACTTATGTTCTTGATCACCAGTGTTATGTAAGGACGTTCTTGTAATTACAAGGTGAAACTGTTCTTCCTTTCACTTGTAGAATTTTCTCCTTTTAATTTGACATTGCTGTTTCTCCCATTATTTCTCCCTATCTTTTGAACCTATGAATACATAGCCATAATTCTTCTATTTCTGTTTTACTGTCCATGGCATTTCAAAACAAGCCCCAACCATTCTAGGCCAGCTCAGTCCTTTCAGTGATACATTATTACTGTATTTAACCACCCTGATTTTCAAATGACAAGACACTCAGACACTTCAAGCAACTTAAGAAAAAGATTAAGTCCCTACGTTTTTAAAGCCCCTAAAAATATCCAGGGTAGGTGCCAAACCTTGCATTGCTTATTCAAACTACTATCAGAAACCTCACTTTTCTCTTCAAGCATTTGTGAGTTCTCAGAAAGGGATTCAGACATCATTATTAAAAAAAATGACATCTACAACCAATGCATGTTAAAAAGAAAATGTGCCTTCCAATAACCCATGGCTCCTACTACTGAAAGTCACATATTAACAATGACAATTTTGGAAGTGGTGCACACACACACACACACACAAAAAAAAAAAAAAAAAAAAAAAAAAAGCCAATAAATAAAACTCCCACGTTGGGCTGTAGCACATTCATTCTTAAGGATAACACAAAATCATGTTAATGCACAGTTTTCTCAAATGACTTATCTACTAATTCATTTACTGGCCAGCCTGCATGGGGCCTTGGGCAGCCTGATCTATTGGGTGGCATCCCTGCCCATAGCAGGGAGCTCAAACTAGATGATCTTTAAGGTCACTTCCAATCCAAGCCATTCTATGAATGGAATCACCTACTAACAAAGCCACAGCTTCTTCCCAAACCAGGGCTGTCAAAAAGCCTCCTTCCATAAAAATTGTGACATGATTCACAGCTTCTACATTCCGAACCTTAGAGGACTCCCTGACACTCACTCTCTACTGCCTGGCAAAGGCACGAGAACATTTGTGTGTTTTGTAACCATAAATGGAGCATCACTCATGGTAACTATTTATTCAACTGTGATTTTTCCTCTTTTTTTTTCTCATACGTGAGCCAAGAAGCAGTTAATGATGACAACCGCACCAGGGTATCTGAGTTAACACCTTACTGATACAAACAGAGCATCTCACACCTCTCGCAGCTATTGTTCCACTCTCTCCACAATCTCACGTAGACATCTCTGCTTTCAGTACAGGTTCTGAGGTTTTCAGCAGAGTTGTAACAGTTAGGGACTGACGGCAGGGCTAGTGGGGAGATAAACTAGAGGAAAACAAGGTCGCAGATTGAGCGAGGTGTCAGTAAGCAATGCTGCTGCTTAGCAGATCAATCTCAGTACCGGTGTAGGAGTATATATCTAAAGTACCTGCTCAGGACTACCACTACAGATTAAAAAAAAAATACAGTACAGGGTGGGAGGCACACGTCATGTATCAGCAGGAACAAACGTGGATGCAAAACATTGCTGCTGTATGTCAGAATCTGGGATCATCCTCTTTGTCATACAAAGAATGAATGATAGCTTAATTTCAGCCATTGTAATTACTATAAACTTCTTTTAAAGGATAACTGACAGCAAAACTGTGCTGTTGACAACTACCACCAGCTGTTACACAGCAGAAGTTTTATGCTATTTTCTTAACTCTACCACTCCAACACTTAGATGTGCCGTCCACAAAACCAGAGCTTGAGTACCACAGCAGTGCCTTATCAGCAGGGTCTGGGAAGCCAGACTCAAAGCCATTGCCATCAGAAGCAGGAAAAACGGCCAGCGCCCTTTGGTTCCTGAGGCCAGTGCCTCATCAAGCAAGGCACAGGCAAGACAGGCAATGTGAATGCCCTGGCAGCTTTCACCTTGCTGAAAGCCTGACCTTGTAACACAGGTGTGCCTGCAAAAGGGACAAGCCTCAGGAACGTAGTGCTCATATGCACCTCGTGCTACTGCTAGGCCACAGGTTAGAACTCAGCAATGGGACACAGCCACGAGCCACCGGGACACTTGTGCACACGAGGCCCAGGACAGCTCGCTGCTTCACTCCCAGGCAGGCGGGCAGGCACGGCGAAGCTCCCGGGGCACGCAGATCTCGCTGTGCCGGGGCTCAGGCCGAGTTCTGCCGCTGATGGGAGCCTGAGGCCCGCGCCGCGCTCACAGCGCTGAGGCAAAGGCAGGAGGCGGGCAACGGAGCCCCCGCACCGCGAGCACCCGGGGGCAGCCCGAGCCCGCCGAGCCTCCCGCGGCCATCCTCCTCCACGCCCAGCGGGGAGCAGAAGCGGGGACTTCCCACAGGAAACCGTGGCGAGGCGCCGACAAGAAGAGGAGGCGCGGGGGTGAGCGCTCACGCGGCGGGCGGCCGCCCCTACCTGCTGCGCTGGGGGGAGGCTCCATCTGCGGCTCCACGCTACGCCCGCAGCTGCGCACCCTACGCGGCCGGCCCCGAGCCGCTGCCGCGCAGGCGCGGCCCAACCCTCTGCACAGCCTCGATGCGGGCAGAGGGCGGAGGCGGCGCGCGCATAGGGGAAGGCGGGAAGGGATGAGGGAAGGGTGCGGGAACTTGCCGGAACTTGCCTTGGAGTGCGGGTTTGGGTTTGCCTGTCCGCTGGGATGAGGGGCTGTGAGCGGTGCTGAGGTGGTTTAGACGCTCGTCCCTGGAAGACTCCTGGAGCAGAGGATATCAGCTTCTCCAGGAGCTCTAGGCAGTGAGAAGATGAGAATTACGGGAGTGGCTACGTTCGTTGGTTAGTTGTTTTGCACCCTCTAAGAAAGAGCTTCCTGTATAAGTACGGTTGCTTAGGACAAATCACACCTTAGGAGGTCTGCAGAAAGAATGCGCAGTGCTTTTTACATGACCATCACTATGAGTTCATTGCACTTCAGTCCGATCTGCGTGTCCTCGTGGTTTGCCTCTTTATTGAGACGTATCTGAAGCATGCTTAAAGAGCAGAGGAATAATTCTGGTCTTGTAAGCCTCTAGAATTATTAACTGACCGGCCTATCTGTTAATGATACGGTCAACCCCTTTGAGAGGCAAAACACAGAATGAAAATCTGTAAGAAGGTACTTAGGGCGCTCTGAAAGTAATACATAGTTCAGACATGATGAGAGCTGAAAGTCGAGACTTTTTTAACAGATAGAATTCAGTCTCCAAAGAGTCTCTTTGCCCACTAGCCTCTTCGGCTATTCTGGCAGATGAGTGGTATGAAAAATCAGTCTATTTAAAAACCAGCCTCATATATGAGGTGGCAAAAATTCTTCCTCAGTATAGCATTTCCTCTGTAATCCTGTACTGTTACTTCCTGCTCAGTGCAAATGAGCTGAGGGTTAAACATTACATTGTCAGGTAAGTGAGAAGTCCAGGACTCTTCCTCAAACACCACATAAACCTTGTGTGCCTCTGGAAAATAACAACAGAAGCAATTTAGAAAAACTCAATGGGATCACAAAATCAGGTTATTTATTTGTAAAAATAATTATCATTCAGATAGAGATCTGACTTTCAAATTCAGCTTTTTGTTTGCTTACTGTTTTTTTTTTTTTTTCCAGATATGTATGATTTCCCCATATGATAATTCAGTGCTTTTATTTGAAAATGGATTATTTTAACTTGAGGCCACACTAAAAGCTAAGTTCTTCATGCCAAAGCATTCACGGAAATTAGTAGAGCGTGATGTAGGCAACATCTTCCACACGATTGCCTTTGGCCTTACTGATTTAGAGTACTTCTGTTACAGAGCCTTAAGTGTCTTTGTGATATTTTGTTTTTATACCACAAGTTTTTTCTCATTTCTTATTGTAGAATATGGATATTATAATTGTTTTTGGTAATATTAACCTATACCACTTTCAGTTGATTTTTATAATTTGATACTTTTTGAATAGGGCTGTGAAAATACAGCATATTTTTTATTATTATTTTATTTTAAAGGCTTTTGGCGTATGCTTCTTCTGCAATGAATGCAAGTGTTGGGAAGGAAAAAAAAAAAAAAAAAAGCCAATCTGCAAAGAGTTACTCTGCAACAAGAAAATACAAAACAAAAACCCCACATGATACAAAAAGGAGCTTACAACACAAGATCCGAAAACTTAAAACAGTAAGTTGAAATCAATACAAATTAAATAATTGAAGTAAGTCTTCTTTGCCAATCTTAGACTTTTGGTTGTTGGTATCTACAGATGCCCTGCAGAATGAGAACTACAAAGATTTATTTAAATTTAAGATCTTTGAACTTCAAAATTGTGTTAATTTGATTGTTTTAGATATGGGTTACTAGGCTAGAGACAGCCTCTCTTTGGAATGGTATTTCTGTTTTTTGATGAAGACAATAGATGCAAATATCCATCAACTTTGTAACTCGGGCAACCTGCCCTACCCTGCTGCAGAAGTGCTGTCAGGTCTGGAAAGCAACAAAAAATTGCTACAAATTCTGCAATTCTATTTTTCACATATGACAGAAGAAAATGTTGAATGCTAAGAAAAAGCGAGATCTTTCTGAGTGAGAAACAAATAGAAATGGAAAAATAATTATAGAAAATCTTTCTTCTGGAAGTTTGAGGGGCAGAAATAATAGGTTTTGAGTGAGAGAATATACAAGTGTGGATCTGAAAATAGACTTATTCTATTTGGAGCTATTATAAACTATTGGGAATGAGAAAGCATCAGAAAAAAATATAAAATGTATTAGAAATCCTGACAAATAATTGAATGAGACTGACATTATGGGTAACAGAAACAACATAGCTAAGACACTAAGATATACACCATCTAAAAAGAGGCTTTAAATTAAAAGAAATAGACTTGGGAGTCTGTGGTGGTGGCTGGATATGGTTGGCACAGTGACTGAGTTGAATATGAACAGAACGATTTTTGCAAACAGAAAAGAGGAGATTACACTGTTAGAAATGTGATAAAAGCCACGTCAAGAATTTTAGTAGATGGATAAACAAGGTAAATGCTTTGTAAATACATATTTTGCACATTTTTATATGCAGAGTAGATGTAAGATCAGCACTGTATATATAGAGAAAAGATTTACCGCCATCCTTCAGGTAAAAGTGCTGGTTACATGAGCTTCATTCTGTAGGAGCACCCAAGAGTAAAATGAGACAGTTCCATTACTACAACAACAAAAAAGATGGGAAGTGGATATCACTGGATATCACATAAACAAGAAACCCTCTTGCACCTTATTGCTAGGGAGAGTTTTGAAATGACATTCAGAGAATATAATTTGTGTTTAGTCAGATCTTTCAAAGTATGAATCTTGCATTTGTTCTGCAATCCTGTGAAGTTACGATGACATGCATCGGACCTTTTCTTTGCAGTACACTGATGGATGTTAGTACTGTAAGCTTAACTTCATTACCATGCTGGTATCTGCTCCTGTTTATTCTGTGCTGCATGCATCATTTCTTCAATACTGTCTCCCACACTTTATGTCTACAAGGAAAACTGCCATGTAATCTTTCATGCAGTTAATTCCCTGAGTAAAATATTGGGTACTCTGGTGAAGAGTCTAGTGATTGTGGTCACCGTTTTCTGCAGTGGGGAAACTCCTGTAATTCCCATTATAGTCCTGAAGGATGCAAGAGGCGATGGGGATGCTTGATTTTCAGCAGTCCTCAAGAAATTAAAAATAGTCATAAGTAGTGCTGGATTGCAGTCAGTTCTGTGTTCCTGAGATTCATCTTGTCATTTGATTAGTTAATCGCCCATTTTCAAAGGTGTGAACGTATTTTCACACATCAACAAAGACTGTGTTAACAATGAAACTATAAATAACAATAGAGATGAAATATCTATTGCACGAGTTTCTGCACCACGTTCTTACCAGATAAAGAGCCTCTATCTGTCTGCACACAGGTGTGATTTTTTTTTAAACTCCGAACAGTAGCCTTGTCATATTAGTTCAAATGAATATTTTCAAATGGCACCTCTTCAACGTGTTTGCTGTTAACATTTTTGATCTTGTTCCATGAAATGTAACTTCCAGTAAGAGGCTGTGATTCTTTGCTACGCTTACTCGTGTGAAATAAATATTCACTGATAGGTGAGAGATGTGAGGGAGTTTTAAATGAGAGTTAACGTCTAGAATAAAAGGAAACATTTTCTTCTCTGCTTAAGGGAGGTAGACTTTTACAAAAGCCAATATAAGGTTGTTCAAGGTCTTACTGGCAATTGCATTCTGAGATTTTTCATTCACTGGAGAAATCTACAACAGGAGAGAAAAAGAGATGAAGGATAAGTTTGTAATCTCTTTTGTAGTGCATATTCCAGTGTTGTAAAGCTGTTCACCCACAGAAAAATCGTATTTATGTGCTTGCTTTCTAAAAGTTTCAAGTCAGAGATCTTCTTAGCAGAATATGCTATTGAAGGAGGAGGAAGCAGTAGGAGTTTTGAGTTACTTCTATCCTATCCAATTAATCTGTAATTTCGCTTGTTCTAGAAGCTTGCAGACCTCCAAGCCTACAGGCCCATGAAGTTACACATGGGACTCTTGAACGTTATTTTCACAATGCAAGCATTAGCACTGTGTTACTTTGGCTTCTCTCTCGACATGTCAACTGCAGTTTTCAGAGCATCAGGTGGCAAGCTCCCCAGTGGCACTATTTCCAGGCCTCTGTGCCTTGTCTCTTATCACTTCTTCAAAAATGAAACCTATTCCTTTGTGAGGCAGGCCTTTCTACTCATGTTTTAGGGAAGTTGGAAGCATCTTGTCAGGGTGACTACTTCCCATCATTCCTGTTGTCCTAGCAAGAAGTCACTGAAGTAGTATCTAGGGAACTGGCCATCTGCTCAACTAGAAAGAATGCATCAAATAATAATTACATTTTCCAGTTACTACTAGATACAGTTGCCAGAGAGAAAAACACTTTGATTCCCTTCCTTCTGCAAAGTCCGCATAGAGCAGCACAGTCTTTCATTGGCTTTTGTTTCCTTAAAATTTCCTCTTTTTACCTCAACAAATTCAGATGTAACCCAAAGCTAAAAAACATATACCAAATACAAAGGACTGGATCAACATCTAGGTTTTCAAATAATAGCAGTTCAGTACTATGAGAAGGAATTGAAGTTCCACTACTAAGGTGATAGTCTTTATAATCTGTCATCATTTGATCTATCCTATTTACAAGAACAATGACTTTCCAGAGTGTGGACAGAGTGGTTTTTTTTTTTGTCTGAATACATTCAGGTCAATTATAGGACAACTCTCAATTGCACTGGAGGTTTAATTTAGACATATTTGTTACTTTGTTTTCCTTCCTTCCTGCTAAGTTCTCTTTCTGTTCATTACTTTCTTTAAAAAGCTACTTAGCAGTTCCTTTGCTTTATACTTCCACTTTTTTTTTTTTCTTTTAATGCCACAGAGAGAAGAGCTACTTCCTGATGTTAAATGTTTGAAAGGCTGAATTCAGCCTGATTTCTGGGCAGCAGTAGGCACTGCCTGGCATAATTCCTTGTATTTGAGCTTGCAGTTGAGCCATCTAACTTTCTTTTTATTGG